TCCAACTCAAACCATTCTCTGATTCTATGATAACATCATAATCTTTATTGTTATGTAACCAGAAGCCTGGGGACAGAAGTTGGTGCACTTTGCTGTGCACACAATGAAAGATGTTTCCTGTCCTGGAGACCTCATGGCATATGGAGACAAGAAGAAAATGAATCAAGTCATCTGGCAAATGTGGAAAAGAGGAGAAGAGAGGAACAGCACAGCCCCTCTGTGCCAGGCGGTGGGTACGCTGGACTCATCACCAGCGCAGAGGGATGAAGTTCCAACCTTCTCAACCTTCTCCCTCCAACTCCCCCAGCAAATCCATAGGAACATGGGAACACACTGGAGAAAGAAGAGGTGCTCTCATCTATAACCCTTTGGGACTATGTTGGTTTTTATAGCATCATGTCAAGAGAATAGATATACGCTGAGATCAGGGACAGCAACCAGCTCTGGAGAGACCTGGCTTAGCTCTGCATCTGCATAACTGCTGGATGGAGAGAAGAAACCAATCTTCTGGCATGAACCAGTGTCATGTGAACTTTTGACATCTTAATCTGAAAGTTTCTATTCTTGACTCTAAAATAAACTAATGGATCTGAATTAAGAAGCACGGACAGGGAGCTTTGGGAAAGGTGCTTTCAGAAGCACCCAGAAGCTCATTTCAGAATGGACCTGGTCAAAAACACTCATTAAGGACAGTGGGTGGGACACGATCTTGCTAACTGGAGTTTTAAAAATAGCAACCGAGTGCTCTTGTAACTGCAGCAAATTACCAAAGGTTTAGTGGTGTGAAGATAAGGTTATGTGTCAAAACTGTGTTTTCTATAATGCTTAAAAGAGTCCTGCTCTTTAAAGGGTCGTGCTGCAGAGATGTTTAAACCACAGGGCAATGCAACCTGGTAATTATGCACTTAGAATATTGAAGCAAAGTCTGAGAGTGGAGCGTGCTGTGTAATTAAACTTCCACCAGAATGAGCAAGTAATTACTCTGCAACGAGGCGCTGTTCCTTGCAAAGCGTGGAACTGAATTCACAGTTCAACCACTGTAATGCAAGAGGTGATCTGAAAGAGGGCCAATGTTTTTTTTTAATGGTTATTTTCCAGGAAAAAAGCACCCAGAGTGGTTGAAACGGGGTGCTCTGGACAGGTTGTCAGGTTTCGGTTGCATTGTGCAAATAAAATGTTTTCCCCCAGACTTCCAAAAAGCAAACTTTTTTAATAACTTCTTCCTAGTGTTTAACTGGAATATTTTCTCCTGGAATAGGGACTGCCCATGGTGACTCTCCTGTGTCTGTCATGGATAAGGCAAAACATTTCATCTGCCCTTTGTCCCTGACCGTGTTACGTATTTAATGACTGTTACCCCTTCCCCACCATTTTCCTCAGGGTTTTCTTGCAGCTCCCATTCACGGTAAAGACAGCATGCTCTGGGGTCTGCTTTGGGCAGGACTGCAACATCTCCCCTTCCTCTTTACACTGCCCACCCACACAGACACTTACAAGGCTCCCACTTAACACCGAAACCAGGTAGGAAGGTTTTGTGGTGGTGTTTTCACCCGCAAAGAGTTTCAGAGCCTCCAATCCACAAAACCTCTGCAGGCACCAGGGTGATCTGTCCTCCTCTCCTAAGAGGATTAACGTGGCACCAGGAACTGCTCAGCCTGTTCCCAGCTGCAGCTGTTGCATTGCCAACTCCCTGTCTCCCCGTTTCATCAGCATCTCAAATCTGAAGGGCACCTCTCAGCCTTGCATTGGCATGAGGAGGACAGCAAAGTTTCCTGAGGTAGGACAAGTGGAAACAGCCTCAAGTTGCACCAGCGGAGGTTTAGATTGGATATTAGGAAAAATTTCTTCACCAAAAGGGTCGTCAAGCATTGGAACAGGCTGCCCAGGGAAGTGGTGGAGTCACCATCCCTGGAGGCATGTAGACGTGGTGCTTGGGGACATGGTTAGTGGTGGGCTTAGTAGTGTTAGGTTAATGGTTGGACTTGATGAACTTAAGAGACTTTTCCAACTGAAGTGTTTCCATGATTCTAAACTCTCATGGAGCCCCAGGAGCGTTATCCTCATGCCTGGTGTGCCCAAACAACACGAAGCAACACCAGTTTATGCATTATACTGTGTCGAAGGGTGAACTTACAGGAGGCCCCGGAGGTCCTGGCAAGCCCGGGCGGCCAGAAGTACAAGAGCAGGCAGGAGCTAAGGTAGGGCAGGTCTCCTCGTCCCTCTGAAACAAAAGCAAGCCAAAGTGGCATGAGCAGATGCGTAGCAGGAGTGAGATGGATCACAGGCAACATTTTCAGTGTTCCAAAATTCAGTCTTTTAGTTGGAGAAAAGTAGAAGTTTCCTCTACTCCACTGAGACGTTTTGTGAGCAATTGAGTGCTTTATTTTTCTGTCAAATAACAAGTTTAGACAAAAAAATGTGAACCAGCCCTGCCTGAAATTTGCATAACACATACTGGAAGATAATTTTCTCCTTGCTAATTATTTATACACCCCACAAAACAACTTTCTGTGTTGAGAAGAAAACTTGAAAGGAGGAGCAGGGGGGTGTTGTGACTCAGGGCTGAGGTGGCAGCAAAGCCGTAGGACTCTCAGGGCTGCTGCCACAGATGACGTCATGACAGGAGGGATATACACTGCAGCAGGATTTGGAATTTTCTTTCCTTTTGAAGCAAACACAGTTTTGTTCACTTCGCCAAGAAACATATAGACATTATTCCCAGGAGAAAAGGAAAAAAAATAAATAATGGTTTCCCTCTTGAGTCTACCAAAATCATTTGCAGTGTCACTTCTGTGCCATGGACTTGTTCCATAATCTCCAGCTTCATTAGCTCATCCCCTGCTCAATTAGCAGAGTGGTCCCTCTTGTCTTACCAGTGCAGGGAGGTCACAGCATCGGTCTCCCTCTGCCCCCACACTGCTGCACAGGATCTGCAGAGATTGCAGCTGGAACTGCAGAAAAAAGAGTTTGACAAGAAAGTAGCATTGGCACACACCGTCCATCACCAAACCTCACGACGTTCAAGTGCTAAAAATAATCATCAGTGATGATTTGACAGGACTCCTGCATGTGGTCCTGACTATAATTGTGCCAAAAAAAGACATAAGATGAAAAGTTCCCCCAGCCATTTGGTGTTTCACCAGCCCACAGGTCTCTGTGTCTTGCTATGCAAGTCAACAAGCAGCTTCACATCAGCAAAAGCCAAATCTCTAATTTACTCGCAACCCTGCAACAGCAGGCAGGTTCTCAAGCAATTGGGCTTCAGCATCACCAAAAGATGAAAAGAAAACTTTGCTTTGCTCCCCCTTAGGGGCATGGAGATAAGAGCAAACGTGGCAGCAGCCTTTCCCAGGACAGATGTGATCCCCTCCCAAGAAACCCCAACCTGTCTCTCTCTCCACATCCTTCGCAACTGCCACATCTTCCTGTTCTGATTAACACAGGAACACACACTGCACAAAGCCAAACCAAAATAATGAGGCAGAGATATTTTTTTTTTCTTTCCCTGATACCATTTCTCATCTTTTTTTTTTTTTTTTCCTTCCACTCCATGCATTTAACAACAAGCAAGCTGTACAGCCCAGGGAGCGCGACACGCAGCATACAGATATAGATGAGCCCCGTAGACCAAGTGGCATTTAAAGACATCTTAAATTAAATGAGGTTCCACGATAACCAGTAATGAGATGCTCTGTGTTCTCAAGGGCAGCAGAGCTGTGGAAGACGTGAAGCTTTGCTGGAAAGGCAATGGGAGCAGGGATGGCACAAAGCGGGTCGTTACTTGGCTAGGGCTGTCTCACTGCGCTGCTGGCAGGGAGAATTTGGGAGGGATAAGGAGAGCACAGATTCCTGCCTTGTTGCCCACAGGTTTGTGACCAAATTGACACGGAATTTATTCAGGAAATAAGTAAATACTGCTTGAATACTATTGTCCCCTGGTTTGTTATACAGCTGACCCCACATCTTACAGGCAATTCCAATGTCTGCTTTTTCCCTGGAATATCCCAGATTCTGCTTCTCTGTTTGCAGCTGGGGAGGCACACGGAACAAAAAGGTTTTATTGTGCTGCTTTGAGGCAAGGCAAGTTGTAAATTAACTGATTCACTGTTTTCCCCTGGACTTCTAGATCTAGAAGCAGAGCCAAGGAGTAAAAGCTTCACCCAAGTCCTGCTAGCACATCGTGAGTGATGAACTCGCCCCTTGTTCTGCACGTTTAACACTCGTGTTTCATGGAGCGAGTACGGCAGCAGACTGCCGGGCGATGGCATACGTGGGTGGTTTTGCCCTTAGGACCATGTGCTGGGCTGTCACAGGGCACTGCACCAAGTCCACACTTTCCCTTATTCTTTCCTCTCGTGGGGAGTGGGCTCTCCGCAGTGCCGTGCCATGCAGCGAGGACATACCCGCAGGCTGGCACCGAACGTTTGTGTTGTTTGTTGTTTTTTTTTTTTCAAGTAACTGCTGACAAAGAGCCTCTATACTGAAGATTATTTTCCTAGCATCTGCATGCAGATAGGCAAACCCAACACGCTGGAGACGGAGGCACTTCCAGCCCTGCTGCCTTCCGTCACTGGCATTTCCCAGTATCACTGGGAGGGGATTGATGTGCACAGTCTTCCATTGCAGAAGCAATTCCCAAACCTTCCTATCTGCTTCAGCCTGTTAGTGCAGGGTCTGTGCTTTGGTGGTTCCCGGGAGATGCAGCCAGCTGAAGGCACCTCGGGACACGCTCACTCTGCTGCCTCCGATCACAGAGCTCAGGCGGAGGTGGGAGGGTGATGGGGAGAAACACTGCGCTGGGAAAGCTCATTAAAACGGCAGAGATCAGTGGGATCAGGACACAACCACGTGTCACAGCAGTGTTTGGAGGCATTCAGAGCAAGAACAATGTGAGAAGGCACTGTTCTCCATCTGCCCACCCCAGCCAGCTCCAAATTTAAGCCCCTCCAACTCTCCGACAGCACGTGCCGTTGGGGACTCACCGACGCGGAGCCGCTCCGGGGTCCTCTGGTCCTCGTCACTTTTCCCAGCATGATGAAGCCGGCGGTGGAGACGGGGCCGACGGTGTTGATAGGTTTCTCTGCTATTTTCTTACAGTCCAGATAGAGTTTGATCTTGAAGTGGCTCACGGCCACGTGCACCTGGGCAGCAGGTGGAAAGAGGCGGGTTGGACCTCCATGGGGAGATGAGGGGGTCTTTTAAAGACAATGATGCCTTCTGCCCCATTCCCTGACTGCTGCTGTTACTGGTGGCGGGTTTTTAATGAGCAGATGGATCAAGGGGGCTCAGGAATAAGTTTCAGTACGTGCTGTGTTAACACTGCACTTTTCCCTGATGTCCCCCCACACCTCTCCTTGGAAGAAGCCTTTCTGGAGCTGTCGTATTAAATAATTCAGGTTTCAGAACTAGCTGAATAATGAAACTGCCTACGGATACTCATAGAAAGTGCTCATTGCTCATTTGGGTGGAATACCTTTGCTCTGAGGACAGAGATGGCCAAACATAACTCTGTAATGAGTAATAAGGTGGCTTTCTCACAAGGCTAGGTTATTTTTTCCCCTCCTTCCAGCACAAAATCATCACCAAAATCGCAAATTCTAAAAAAAAAAGTTTGATTTTCCAATTTTTTCTAGTCATTTAGACCTAAAAAACCTCTCAGTTTTGGATTTTCTGGGAGGGGAAAGGGAAGCAATCAATGTGTGGAAATTGTATTTTGAACACTGGAGGAACCTTAATATATAAACTTGGGCATATCAAATATGTTTGCCAGTTCCCTAGCAATTTGGATGCAAAACACTTGTATAATCACTCCTCATTTTGAACAATACACATTGATGGCATAATACTCCCAGACTGGAGTGAGATCATGAGCCACATTTCTCCTTCTCTTGATAAGGACCTTATGAAAGCTCCCATAGAATATCTTCTTCACTTCCTGCTGGTCAAAGGAGACCTCCTGTAAATCAGCCTTGTAGTCATGATTGAAATAGGTCAAGGATTTCTTACTGGCTACAGGGAAAACAGGACAAATAACAGCTTAGAATTAAAAGAGAAATTGATTTCACCCATATACTGAACAATACAAAATAAATAAGCTTAAACGTGGTGAAAGACTTCATAGGTTATAATGAAATACTTCTAAAGAGTAGAAAAGAAAAAGAATACATAAAACTAAAGAATATGTTACAAGCAGAATAAAAATGAAAATACATCTTTCAATTGCACTAGGCAGTACTTAAAATGTGAGGTTGGCAGCAAAAACAAAGCTTCCCAAAAAACTGCTGCTGTATAACAGACGTTAAAACTTTCCAAGTGAATGCCAACATGAATTCTGCTGTTCACAGAAATGTATGCAAATACCTGAATTTAACGTATTCAACAAGAAACCTTACGGTCAAGGTTAACACCAAGGAGGGGCTGGAAGTCCTCGTCTGTTATTTGCCAGACAGCGAAGGGCTCCTTGGGGGACTCGGGCAGGAGGCGCAGGAGGATGCTGATGGTGTGCTCGGGTGGGATTGCAAAGAGGTGGAGGTCACTGGAATGAGACAAGCCCAGTATCAGTGGCTTAAAGCAGCTAAAGCCAGCAGGCAACATTCCACAGACAGGGCTCATCCACTGTGTCTCTTGGGCAGGATGGCCTGGAAAAGCTTCACCCAAGGGAGCTGAACACGATACGTCAGGAGAGAGCCTGGCCCTTGTTTTGTGCATCACTCTCAGGCTGTTGAAGTCTGTGCTGAGCGATGAGCCCCTGAGGACCTTCCCTGAGGGCCACGGGCGAGACCCAGGTGGAGCCCTCAGTGTCAGTCCATCACTGCCAGAGCTGCCCCAGGGAATGCCAAGACACAGCGAGTGCAGCCTTAGAACTTTTCAAAATAGAGCCCAGTGGTAGCTTACAAACCATCCCTGCCAGGCTCCAAAACAGTCCCGCAAGCCTCCTCTTCAGAAGGAGGAGTGGACATCCTGCATGGGGTAAAACTTTAAGCGTTGGTAGAAATTGTTTAAGTGTCTCTCAGGGATAAGCACAGAGCCCACAGAAAGCCCCCTCCACGTCCCCACGTCCCAGCTGCAAAATCTGGGCTCAGGGCTGGGACTTCTGACAAGGCAGCGATGCCCGTCAGCAGCTGCTGGCACGACCCAGCTCCCAAACCCGTCAGAGCACACGGGGCAGGAGCAGCAGCTGGAGGATACGAGGCAACGAGGAAGGTCAAATTGGTTATGCCCAAAATACATCTGTAATCTGAAACAGGACACATTTGCATGGGCATATACACAACTCATCAAGCATCTTTTCAGGACTGATTCATAAGTAATGTCAGGTTCTTATTTCTCTGTCCATTTCTGAGGGAGTAATGTCCTTGAAAGGCATATGTACCAGCCCAGCAAAAGGATTTGCCCATATTTTTCCGAGTATTTAAACCAAAGAGTTCCCTGGATCTCTCCCACTCTGTTTACTCTAAGAAGCTTTGCTTCTTTAACTAAGATTAAACTGAGCCAGTGCCTCAGTAATTAGGCTTTAAACAAAGTAGCACTAAATGTTAGGAGTCAGATCATTCCTGATTTATAATCATATAAAAACGAATGAGGTCATGGGAGCTGCCTGGTCCACTTGGGACCCCGCAGAGGAACCTCATATGCAACAAAACGGGGTCAAGTCACAACCCAAAGTCAATGGTTATTCCCTCTCTTCAATAAAGACCAAGCTGCAGAAAGCAGCTGAGACAAATATTTTCTAAAGCAAAGATCTGTCTCCAAACCAGAGATGCTGGGAGAAGGGATTGAAGATGTAAATGTGACCTCAAACCTCTGTCACTGAAGAGTACGTGATTGTGGACTGAATGCCTAAAGAATGGTGCAGTGTCTACACACGACATGATCCTTATGTCCACCACAGCAACTAGTACTGCTGGAAAAAGTGATTTAGTAGAAAGGAAAAACCTCGCTGTGAAAGTGTTTGGCTGCATAAAAAATATAATTAATATCCCTATTGTGTCCCCTTCACTTCTGCATGACATATTCCATGCTCATCTTGAGGAAAGTCATAGGTTAATTTCTTAGTTTATTAAGGAAAAATACTCTGGCATTCTTTGCAGTCTACCTGTGATTCGATTTAGCTCATCATCTTTATAATTTTGAAGTTGCCAGCGCGGCTGCATCATTCATCCACAAATCAGCGGAAAAAATGAAATTTGCTGTGAGCAGAGGTAATGTGTATGCATGAGACCGATGATGAGGATGACACCGGTCACAGCTCTGGTCCCACCTGGTCCTCAGGGTGAGCTGAGTGTCTCTGAACAGGGTGAAGGTACGGGAACCGCTGAATACGAATGGCTCCATGGCTACGCCTTTAATGGAAGCGTATTCCTTCTCTACTAAGCCAAAAGCTTCCATCATATCAAATCCTGGAACAGACAAAGAAAAACAGACTAATAAGTGGTTAGAAATGAGTGTAAAAAAATGTGATTGTAGATTAGGTAGAATGAGCCTCTAGCCAGCATGGAGAAGGCAACAGGAGAAAATGCCAGAGCAACACAGACACCAGCACGGCTGTGCAAGTCATTGGAAACCTGGAGTGTACTCCCCAAGGGGCAGCCAAGGAAAACAATTTGTATCTGCACCCTCTGCACACACCTGCCGTAATCTCTTCCTCTTGGAGAAGAGTAGACTAAAGATGGAGACTTTCACAACTCTGTTTTCAAATCTCCAGAATGAAAAACAAAGGAGAGAGAAGTTACTCCAACAATTCCTCCTTTTCAACTAGATGCAAAAAATTTGTCTTCAAAAGACATGGAATCAGTCCAGTAATTGCTAGCAAGGAGAGAATTATTTCTGCTCTGAAATGCCTTATATGTAAGAGCCAGAAAAATTAGGAAAGAACTTTGAAATATGAGCATTTCATTTCTCTCTGTTCTCACGAGACACACGGGGTGACCTGCCTTGTGTGGTCTACAGAGATTCCTCTCTGACATCCCCTCCCTGGCTCGTGCAGCTTCATCTCACTCTCCCAGCTCATCATTAAAGCTCCAAATCATTTTCTCATTTCAGTTTTCTGTTCAGTAAGACAAGATCTTGCAGTCAGGATTCTTTTTTTAGTTTATCTGGGTTTGCAGCAGGCTGGGATGAAGGAGAACATTCTTTCTTCAGCACATGGAAAAGCTACAACTTCATTACAATGCGGTCTCTCCAGTCTGGATTCCCTCACCCTTTCACCGGTCACAATCTTCTGCAGTTTCTTGGCTTGAGTTGTTATTTCGCCTGGGGGTTGGCCCAGGGTGCTTTTTTCTTTCCTTTTTCTTTTTCATTTTCCAACAGTACTAGGGAGTTTGCCAAAAGAAATGGCCTATTTGAGAGCCATTTATCTCTGAAATGGAGCTTCTGGCGCTGGAACTTCCTTTAAAACACGCAGGAAATATTGTAATGTAAAGACTGAAAATCAAGCTTGAGTCACAATTACAAACATGTTGTAATATGCTCATATTATTATCATACCGGGAATCTGCCATGTAATGGTTTCAGTGAGCTGCTACAGAAAAGGGCTAATCCTGCCACCTTTGTCAAGAAGGAGAAGGAGAGGCCAACATTTGTTGTGGCTTTATCATTCAATTGCTTTGGCTTCTGCATCCATAGCCAGGGCAACAACACTGAAAGCCTCCCGGGGAGGGGGATGCACATCCCTGAGAGCCTCGAGGGTCAAGGGTGGGAGTGAAGCAAAGATGAAGTGACTCAGCCACGGGGTAGCAACGGAGCTGAGAAACGAAGTCAGTTTCCCAGTCTCACCCGCATCACAAAGGTCTCTGGGAAGGAGGTGATATCACTTTATAAGCAGGACTAATTGCTTGCTAAGTAACAAATAGACACAGCAACCCCAACAGCATGAGCAGAGGTGATGACACAGACAGGAGAAATGGGAACTTGCTACCCTGGCAAAGTCCGGAGCCTGACTGCAGAGAGCTCTTTGGGTATCTATACCTCCTCCAAAGGATGCGAAGGCGATCTTGCAACAGACTGAGAGTTTTTCTTAAGGAGCCTGCATGAGTTAGGAGTTGAAATCCTCTTGAAATTCAACAGCTGCTTGAAGCCTAGCTTGCTTAAGGCCAGTGAACATCCCAGCATTAACCACTAACAGCCAAGAACACGAGTTGGTGGAACAGCAAGGGCATATCAATTTAGCTAGTGCAGAACATTCTTCTGCCTGATAAAGGATATTTTCCTGTTTCGGTTCTCAGACTTCCCCCTTTTCCCTCAGGACAGGGAAACCATTTCCCCCCTGCTCAGCTCTTGTGCATTTCTCAAAAGCCAAGACCAGGCAGCATTTCCACATTCACAGCCCAGCACCACTGGGACTCGACATGCTACTGTACCTCGGATGGAGCCTTCGGTAGAGCTGATGGTGGGGCAGGCTGTGGGGAGAGAATAAAAGGGAAAAACTGTTAGGGAAAAAAAAAAAGGGGGGGGGATTATGGAAGCAAATTGAACACCGTTCCTCTAGGCAGAGCAATGGAAAAACACATCAAAACTTAGAATATTCTACAGCTTAATTCAGAGCCTGGCCTTTAACCTTGTTTATGTATGTATGGAAAGAGAGAGAGGATTTACGTTTATGCAGACATAAAGGTTATTTCTTGGCTTGCCCACCACAAAAATAAAAATACTGTCTTTCATCATCAAACATGATCACTTTCTTTTGACTAACTCACCTGGCACCTTACAATATGAAGTACAAGGGAGCATCATGTTCTCCAAGTTTCTCTTTAAAAACAGACATCAAACCACTAATCTATTTTTTTAAAACAGTGCTTTTACTGCAACATGCGTCTTAATGGTCTTGTAAAATAAAGACAGATATCTGCGGTTCCAAATTTTGTACCTGAAACTCAAAATACACACAGCAAAAACATATATCTCAACCTGAGATTTTGGCTTTTGAACTCTTTGGGGAAAAACAGAGAGTCTTGGCAAAGTTTTGCAGTTTGCCTTTCAGAAATTCCCTTCAATGAATCCTCTAAGATGCCACAGGACAGAAAGCAAAACCAAAGGAGAAGAGCCTGGGATGTGATGCTGGAACACGAGGCACCATGGTTATGAGCACCCTCCATTTAAAAGGCTCAGGTAAGGGGCTGTTTTAGAAAACAGCACACGAATGCTACTTTCAATTATCTGCTGCCATGTAAATCCCAGGCCATGGATGCCAGATGGAGCTGGGACAAAGGGAATGCTTGACGCAAAATGAGAAACGTCCCTGAAAATCAAGGACACTTGACAAGATGGGCTATTTCATAAATGGTTTTCTAGGTCATCAGTATAATAGAATCCAGCAAATCATTATATCGAGGCTTCGTTAAAGCTCTGCTATTGCTGTTCTTGCATCAATGCCATTTCATAACTCATCAGAAAAGCAGGGCTTCCAATTTTCCGTACCTAACTTTTGTAAAATGTGTAAAGAAATCTGAAGGAGGTGACTCACCCTCCCCAAGGCACTTGAGATTCCTAAGTCTCTAGGAGTTTCAATGCCATTCTTCATGATCAAGACATATATCAAAGAAAGGGCAACCAAACCTGTGACTTTGAAGGGCATCGGACTGCTAAAGGCAGGAGTTAAACCACAAAGACTCACATAACCTCTATTATTCAACCTGATGCATAGTTTTATACGTATATACCATAATTCCTGTAGAATTGGGTATAAAACTATTATACCTATGGAAATCAGTTAAGAAATTAGTTACTGAAACTTGAGCCTCAAAATCATCTCTGTGAGCTTGACCAGCCCCTGGTTGCGGAGCAATGTTCTGCATTCAGGATGATCTGACTTATGTCTACAAACTCTGCACGGCTCTTT